AGGTCCTCAAACTGGGTCCTGGACACACGGAAATACCGCTGGAATCGACCGTCATCCAGGCGCAGCTCCTGGAGCAGATGGTGGTACTCCCCATATTGGGAGCGTCTCTGGAGGATATCGTGGACCCAGAGACGGCGTCGCTGCCGCCGCTGTTCGGCTTTCCACATTAAATAAAGTATAGTGACTCGTTCCAGAAAATCAAAGCCCGCCATGCTGAGTTGAACAACAACCGGAACCGGCAACTGGCCATAAGCTCCTCCTATTGGATGACGCGGCGAGGCGAAATCTCGACGAAAATCCGCAGGCGAACAGAGCGAGTAATCGCCGCGATAGAAGCGAGTGTCATCAAATATTCAAGCGAAAAACGCCTGGCGTTTGATGCGATTTTTTCGCCTCCATCGCGATCGGTCTGAACACGGCATTAAAGGACTTTGTAAACATAGGCTGGGAATTCGGAATAGTATACCCAAGACTTCCCCTGTCAAACATAGTAAGTTTGTTTTTTAAGTGTTTGTATTTGTGTGTAAATGAGTACTTACAGATGTATATGTGTATACAAAATGCAAAGAAAATGCATATATAAATGATTATGGATATAGGTTCAGTATATAATGGAGGCTTGATTCGGAGGCTTCGTGAAAACAAACAACTGAGCATGAGCGCCGATGATTGACAGCCCTTGGCATCACTTGATTGGTTAAAGTGGACGGCATCGTGGATTTGGACACAGGAGATGGATTCTGCTCATTCTTTCCTTGGGACGTTTGTGCGATAACCAATCAGAGAGCCGCAAATGCTCACGGGGACAATAGCGGACTGAGCGAGCAGACTGAAAATACTCATAAACAGCCAAAACAGGACCCACACCAGGCTTCACCAGAACTCAAACCAGGGTTGACAATGGGGGACTCTGTGCTTGTGAAAATATGCGTTGTCATGCTCCCGTGACCTTATGCAACTGCTTCGAGTGTGTTCGCCGATGCGGAAATACCATTTAATAATATGAAAAAACGTATGGCGCACCTCCGTGAACACATACTACTGTTATATAAAGCCCATGGAATGTCTGTGAGCAAAGACACGCTGCAAAGCTGCATGTTGGAGAAGATCTGTACACAAGAAGCCGCTAGCATAGCTCTGTTAGCATCAGAGCCGGCCGGCTACTTCCAGTACTTCCGGTGCGCGTCAGGACATCTCGGTGTGAAGACCCCTGCGTCTGAAAACTAGAGAATGCGCGTCTGGTGAGCGGGGCTTCAGCGTTTGAGCGTTTGCGGTCTGAATGCACCATTAGACCTTCCTGCCTCCATGCTACATTCATGGTGTCATGTGGGCTTTCTCGAGTTTAAAGATCTGTAATGAATCGTTTTTGAACTGCCTGAAGCATCGTTTTGAAAGTACGGCCCGATATTCCTCGAGCTCTTTCAGAAAGTTTGAATTACTGACACTATGATCATGGCTCAAAACACTCGCATTTCAATGAATATGAGAGATGTAGAATCTTATGTAGATTGGCTAATGCCGTGTTGCACCAGGAGCCGTCGGGGGACTTTAGAAATGGAAATGATGTGTAGAATACTTATGCATATTTTCATATTTAACTCCACGCTCGCTTCTTTAACATTCCCCGTGAAGAGGAGGCGCATCAACAACAAACTGACAACTTTCCAACCACTTCTGCAAATGTTTACGGCAGCGTTTGGCTTTTGCCGTTTGTCTCGTTGAAATCCTTACACTTCAAACTTCATTCCGATGGTGTTGAGTTTCCGGGTTTGCTTTTGTGTGAAAAGTGAGATCAGGTTTTTCCATTCCCCTGAAGACCGCTTTGTCTGGGTCTAAATGTAAAGATGATTTATGTAGTCCTGACTCTAGTCCTGACTCTAGTCCTGACTCTAGTCCTGACTCTAGCCCTGACTATAGTCCTGACTATAGTCCTGACTCTAGTTCTGACTCTAGTCCTGACTCTAGTCCTGACTCTAGTCCCGACTCTAGTACTGACCATAGACTGTATATACTAATGGACAGAGTCACGCCTATCTCCGCCGTTCTAACTAATGGGCCAAAAAATGTGCTCTACTGGAGCAATCCAAAATGGCCGCGAGTGGTCCCGCCCACAAGAAAATTGTGAAAAAACGCATCTGCGCATGCGTCAGCCGGCGCAGCTCCATCCATTTGAACGAGAGACTTAAAAAATTCACAGCAAGTAAACTAGAGTGGTCCAAAAAAATCCACCCCCCTCAGCATTGACACACATGTGGAACGGAGCTTTGGGCCAAGAGCCAACTTTTGGTCCATCCTGTAAAGACGTTTTTGAGAGGTCTGCCAACGCTATAAGTTAGCATTGGCTAATTCTACTTCTGGGTCCACCCCCATCGGCCCGGGGTGGTATTGCAGCATGTCAGCGCACGTCATTTTGGCCACTTTTGAGCTGGGACCCTCCCCCACTGGTACTGACTCTAGTCCTGACTCTAGTCCTGACACTAGTCTTGACCCTAGCTTTGACACTAGTCTTGACTCTAGTCCCGACTCTAGTACTGACTCTAGTCCTGAAGCTAGTCTTGACTCTAGTCCCGACTCTAGTCCTGACTCGACCCAGGAGTTCAGGTTGGGCTTCCACTATAGACGGGGCGTTGCTGTGAGGCGTATCCGTTCACCCGCCCCAAAGCCTGCATAGGTTACCTCTGGGTGCTCCAGTTTCCTTCAGGTGCTCTGGGTTCCTTCAGGTGCTCTGGTTTCCTTCAGGTGCTCTGGTTTCCTTCAGGTGCTCTGGTTTCCTTCAGGTGCTCTGGGTTCCTTCAGGTGCTCTGGTTTCCTTCAGGTGCTCTGGTTTCCTTCAGGTGCTCTGGTTTCCTTCAGGTGCTCTGGGTTCCTTCAGGTGCTCTGGTTTCCTTCAGGTGCTCTGGGTTCCTTCAGGTGCTCTGGTTTCCTTCAGGTGCTCTGGTTTCCTTCAGGTGCTCTGGTTTCCTCCGGGTGCTCCAGTTTCCCAGTCAAGTAATGAGAGATCCTTAAATACTGCTAGATTTATTAGTTTTGTTGAGCACTATCCCTTCTTAGAAGATTGATTCGTTGAATCAAGAAAAGAAAAGAGAAAGCACCTAAAAGATGAGGGTTCTGAATACAACATCCGAAATTGCGATTTTTGTCTGTTTTGTTTTGTCTTTGCTTTGGGTTAATGTTTTCGCTTTTATCAAACTGGGTAATGTGAGTATTTGTCTTATTTCTTGATTGTCATTGTACAAAAACAGTAAAATAAAGCGTCCTGGACAGTGTGACGTACTGTAACTGTGGAGAATAGAACATATAATAATAATACTTCAATCGCGTCTTTCTGCACTAATCAACAATAGTTCCCTCAATCAAAAAAACACAAATTGGAAAAACACTGTTACAAACCAACCCTGGATCAACGCTCGCCCATCGCAGCCTTTTCTTTTCTTCTCGTCAGATGTGGATCTAAAATATGACCTGAGTAATCAACATCGACACGTTTAATCCACATTTGCCGAGTGCATGATGAGTTCCAGAATATCGATTGCTTTTTGTGACTCGGGCTCGACCCCCGTCAGTGGGAGCGGATCCTGGACTCCTGCCGCTCGGAATCCATGCATTTTTCACTTATTTTCCTGCGTCGATAAAGTTGTCTGGATCTAAAGTTGTGGACGAGAAACATTTCAATTTATTCAAACGTTGAGAGAAAAAAGCCTGCGCTGCTACATCTCCAAACAGAGGCCGACAGAAGACGGAGAATCTGCAGAAAAACACTGAATCCATTTGAAATTCAAATGATCGGAGTCTGTTTTGAACCAATATTAAAATATAAAGTGCTCGTTGAAGTTGGAGACATTTCAAAGTGTCCTGCGATGTTGTGATCTCATTCTCAAAGCTGATCAAACAGTATACTCCGTCAATAACAGCTGTGGGAAGTGGAAATGTTTCTACGTTTCCAGGGGTTCAATCATGGCATGTCATTTTCTACCCCTTTATTGTTCCATTTCTGGGTCGGGGGGGTGGCAATCAGAGCTGCCACCCAAGTCTCTCAGCACCAGTCCCTCTCTGATCCTCCTGCAGGTGATGGGTCCGGATGATGGTCTCTCCGTCATTAACGAGATAGCCTTGATCTTTCATCAGGGGCTTCAGGCAATGTGGGGTTAAGTGTCTTGCCCAGGGACACAACGACAGCCGACCTCAGTGGGAGCAGGTGACATGGGTCGTGGTGGGCTCAAACCCATGACCATTAGGTCCAAAGACCAGTGTTCTACCAACTGAGCTACTTTCGCCCCGGGGGTACAATCAATACAATGTATTTCTGTGTAACCCTAATTCACAACAGCAGTCAATTCATCAACAATAGATCAGAGAATCAAACAGAACACAGGAAATACCAGAAAAACAAACATATAGGAGCCATTGGTCCATAGAGAGCAGGATGACCACTGTCCATAAAGGTCCATAAAGGTCCATAAAGGCCCATAAAAGGTCCATAAAGGCCCATAAAGGTCCATAAAGGTCCATAATGTCCCGGATCATCACATTCCTTCCAACATCGTCAAGGAACTACTCAAAAATGAAGAACTGTGGGAAATAAGTGAGAAACCTCAAAAAGGTCCATATTGAGAGAGGGATCAGCTGCTGCGGACTGACAGGCTGTAGACCCAGGACTGAAACTGTAGATCCAAGACTGAGGCTGTAGATCCAGGACTGAGACTGTAGATCCAGGACTGAGGCTGTAGATCCAGCCCTGGATCTACAGCCCTGCACAGCGGACCCTGGTGGGGGCCAGCGGTCCGCTGTGATTGGTCACAATCTGGACCCGAAACAAATTATCTTCCTTGTTGCATGAAAACTCAATCTAAAATAAGATAAGCGCATTCAAACTTAAGTCTGTGTTTTTAATTTGAATTTTTGACCGGTCGCTACTTCCCTCCGATAATAAAAGTACTCAGAGCCAGAGGAAGGTAAAGGGTCGTCCATAAACCCTTGTGTGGGATTACGAGGGGATACCCATGGGGAGGGGGCATGGGGTGTTTTTTGTGGGGAGCTTTGTGGGCCGCCATTTAAAAGGTTCATTAACCCTTTTTGTTTATTTACATATTGGGACTGGGAACTTTTAAAGAGCATTGATCATGAAGCGAGGATCATCTTCTATCTCTAACAGAAAGACCAGTAAAATATATGAATTATTGTGAAATCCTGACATTTCTTCCTGAGCCTTTGATCTCCAGCTCTGCTCTAAACCAACACAGGCCGATCACTTCTTGACTGTTCTTATGTGCTCGCACTCTGGAGGTTTTTTGTATGTTTTTGGGTTGTTTGTTGGTTGACCGCTGTGATCTGAAATGACAGAGCAGATCTGCATATTCAAACAGATTCAGACAGATTCAGACAGATTCAGACAGATTCAAACAGATTCAAACAGATTCAGACAGATTCAGACAGATTCAGACAGATTTAGACAGATGCAGACAGATTCAAACAGATTCAGACAGATTCAGACAGATTCAGACAGATTCAGACAGATTCAGACAGATTCAAACAGATTCAAACAGATTCAGACAGATTCAAACAGATTCAGACAGATTCAGACAGATTCAAACAGATTCAGACAGATTCAAACAGATTCAGACAGATTCAAACAGATTCAGACAGATTCAAACAGATTCAGACAGATTCAGACAGATTCAGACAGATTCAGACAGATTCAGACAGATTCAAACAGATTCAAACAGATTCAGACAGATTCAGACAGATTCAGACAGATTCAGACAGATTCAGACAGATTCAAACAGATTCAGACAGATTCAGACAGATTCAGACAGATTCAGACAGATTCAGACAGATTCAGACAGATTCAGACAGATTCAGACAGATTCAGACAGATTCAAACAGATTCAGACAGATTCAGACAGATTCAAACAGATTCAGACAGATTCAGACAGATTCAGACAGATTCAGACAGATTCAGACAGATTCAAACAGATTCAGACAGATTCAGACAGATTCAGACAGATTCAGACAGATTCAGACAGATTCAGACAGATTCAGACACACACATGCTCTTCAGCAGCTGAGGCCAGAGACTTTACCTTCACATAAATACAACAAACTGCAGTAAGCTAATAATCGAAAAGTGCGGAATAAGTGTGTTTTTGTGTGTGTATGTGTGTGTGTTTCTGTCTCTGTGTGTGTATATGTGTGTGTGTGTGTGTGTGTGTGTTGTGTGTTTCTGTCTCTGTCTGTGTATGTGCGTGTATCTGTGTGTGTATCTGTATGTGTTTCTGTCTCTGTGTGTGTTTCTGTCTCTGTGTGTGTATCTGTATGTGTTTCTGTCTCTGTGTGTGTTTCTGTCTCTGTGTGTGTTTCTGTCTCTGTGTGTGTATCTGTGTATGTGCGTGTGTCATTCCCTGTTGTATATTACTGTATGTACTGCACACAATCATAATTAGTCAAATGTATCAGTATTCTTCAAGTTGATTCATTGTATTGTGTTCTGTATATTAGTATGAGAGAGTGAGATGGGGGAGTGAGAGGGAGAGAGAGTGAGAAAGTGAGTGGGTGAGATGGAGAGGGTGAGAGAGGGTTGAGAGAAGTAATAATAATAATAATAATGCATTGGTTTTATACAGCGCTTTTCTGGACACTCAAAGTCTCTTCACATGTGTCATTATTCATTCACTCCAAACACGGTGGTGATAAACTACTACTGTAGCCACAGCTGCCCTGGGGCACACTGACAGAAGCGAGGCAACCAGTCTATGCCATCGGCCCCTCCGACCACCACCAACCATTCACACACACACCAGACTCATTCTAGGCAATGGGGGTGAAGTGTCTTGCCTAAGGACACAACGGCAGTTTGGCACTTTACAGCCACAGCCGCCACACACACACAGTTGTATGAATCAGTGAAGTGATTCATTCAACCAGTTTTCAATGTGACTCTATAGAAAATGAGTTTTGCAGGTTTACCATAAATCTAAAGTCACTAATCTGTTGTTTGTGGATCCAGAGATTGGACCTAAAGTCAGTCTCGTCCGTCTGTTGCCGTGGGTGATCGGGCTGAAAACACATGATCAAAACTCTCATGAGAAAAAGCTTTTGACAAATACTATAAAATAAATAAAAGAAGCAGCCACTTGGCATTCAGCAGCACCTCTCCTCTGTCCCCTCAGCCCCTCTCCTCTGTCCCCTCAGCCCCCTCTCCTCTGTCCCCTCAGCCCCTCTCCTCTGTCCCCTCAGCCCCCTCTCCTCTGTCCCCTCAGCCCCTCTCCTCTGTCCCCTCAGCCCCCTCTCCTCTGTCCCCTCAGCCCCTCTCCTCTGTCCCCTCAGCCCCTCTCCTCTGTCCCTCTCTGTCCCCTCAGCCCCTCTCCTCTGTCCCCTCAGCCCCTCTCCTCTGTCCCTCTCTGTCCCCTCAGCCCCTCTACTCTGTCACCTCAGCCCCTCTCCTCTGTCCCCTCAGCCCCTCTCCTCTGTCCCTCTCTGCCCCCTCAGCCCCCTCTCCTCTGTCCCCTCAGCCCCTCTCCTCTGTCCCCTCAACCCCTCTCCTCTGTCCCCTCAGCCCCTCTCCTCTGTCCCTCTCTGTCCCCTCAGCCCCTCTCCTCTGTCCCCTCAGCCCCTCTCCTCTGTCCCTCTCTGCCCCCTCAGCCCCCTCTCCTCTGTCCCCTCAGCCCCTCTCCTCTGTCCCCTCAGCTCCTCTCCTCTGTCCCCTCAGCCCCCTCTCCTCTGTCCCCTCAGCCCCTCTCCTCTGTCCCCTCAACCCCTCTCCTCTGTCCCCTCAGTCCCTCTCCTCTGTCCCCTCAGCCCCCCTCCTCTGTCCCTCTCTGTCCCCTCAGCCCCTCTCCTCTGTCCCCTCAGTCCCTCTCCTCTGTCACCTCAGCCCCTCTCCTCTGTCCCCTCAGCTCCTCTCCTCTATTCCCTCAGCCCCTCTCCTCAGTCCCCTCAGCCCCTCTCCTCTGTCCCCTCAGTTCCTCTCCTCTGTCCCCTCAGCCCCTCTCCTCTGTCCCCTCAGCCCCTCTCCTCTGTCCCCTCAGCCCCTCTCCTCTGTCCCCTCAGTTCCTCTCCTCTGTCCCCTCAGCCCCTCTCCTCTGTCCCCTCAGCCCCTCTCCTCTGTCCCCTCAGTTCCTCTCCTCTGTTCCCTCAGCCCCTCTCCTCTGTCCCCTCAGCCCCCTCTCCTCAGTCCCCTCAGCCCCTCTCCTCTGTCCCCTCAGTTCCTCTCCTCTGTCCCCACAGCCCCTCTCCTCTGCCCCCTCAGCCCCTCTCCTCTGTCCCCTCAGCCCCTCTCCTCTGTCCCCTCAGTTCCTCTCCTCTGTCCCCACAGCCCCTCTCCTCTGCCCCCTCAGCCCCTCTCCTCTGCCCCCTCAGCCCCTCTCCTCTGCCCCCTCAGCCCCTCTTCTCTGTCCCCACAGCCCCTCTCCTCTGCCCCCTCAGCCCCTCTCCTCTGCCCCCTCAGCCCCTCTCCTCTGCCCCCTCAGCCCTTCTCCTCTGCCCCCTCAGCTCCTCTCCTCTGCCCCCTCAGCCCCTCTCCTCTGT